TGCTATTCCTACCCTTCGGATCTCATTATCCTTAACTGTAAATTGAAAATGTTTAATCAGTGATTCTTCTGGGGCGCTTACTCCCCTCCCTGGTGGGTTGCATGAGAGTCACACTAGGGGCTTATTTTCAAATAACACACCCTCACAGGAGACTTTTATTCAACCCCTAAGGCAGTGATTTTTCAAATACCTTGCTTGAGAATGATAGGGGCAATTTGCCAAAATGGAGATTCCTGGGTCCCAGCGATTCTGACTCAGTACATCTGAATTTAGTTCCAGGATTCAGGTTTTTGTGTTTTGTTTTGTTTTGTTTTTAAACATTTTCATTTTTTTTAAATTTTTTTTAAAAAATGGGGTTTCGGCCGGGCTCGGTGGCTCAAGCCTGTAATCCCAGCACTTTGGGAGGCCAAGACAGGTGGATCACGAGGTCAAGAGATCGAAACCATCCTGGTCAACATGGTGAAACCCTGTCTCTACTAAAAATACAAAAAAATTAGCTGGGCATGGTGGCACGTGTCTGTAATCCCAGCTACTCAGGAGGCTGAGGCAGGAGAATTGCCTGAACCCAAGAGGCGGAGGTTGCGGTGAGCCGAGATCGCGCCATTGCACTCCAGCCTGGGTAACAAGAGCGGAACTCCATCTCAAAAAAAAAAAAAAAAAAAAAAAAAATGGGGTTTCACCATGTTGGTCAGGCTGGTCTTGAACTCCTGACCTCAGGTGATCCACCCGCCTTGGCCTCCAAAGTGCTTGGATTACAGGCGTGAGCCACCACGCCTGGCCAGTTTTGGTTTTTTTTGAGACCAGAGTCTCGCTCTTGTCACCCAGGCTGGACTGCAATGTTGCAATTTCGGCACACCACAACCTCCGCCTCCTGGGTTCAAGCGATTCTCCTGCCTCAGTCTCCCCAGTAGCTAGGATTACAGATGTGCGCCACCATGCCTGGCTAATGTTTGTTTTGTTTTGTTTTTTTGAGACGGAGTTTCACTCTTGTTACCCAGGCTGGAGTGCAATGGCGCGATCTCGGCTCACCGCAACCTCCGCCTCCTGGGTTCAGGCAGTTCTCCTGTCTCAGCCTCCTGAGTAGCTGGGATTACAGGCACACACCACCATGCCCAGCTAATTTTTTGCATTTTTAGTAGAGATGGGGTTTCACCATGTTGACCAGGATGGTCTCAATCTCTTGACCTCGTGATCCACCCGCCTTGGCCTCCCAAAGTGCTGGGATTACAGGCTTGAGCCACCACGCCCGGCCCTAATGTTTGTATTTTTAATAGAGATGGGTTTTTGCCATGTTGGCTGGGCTCGTCCCGAACTCCTGACCTCTGGTGATCCACCCACAAGCCGAACACCTTGGCCTCCCAAAGTGTTGGGATTACAGGTGTGAGCCACTGTGCCCAGCCAGAAGTCAGGTTTTTGTTTTGCCTTTTTGAGACGAGTCTTGCTTTGTTGCCAGGCTAGAGTGCAGTGGTGAGATATCAGCTCATTCCAACTTCCGCCTCCCGGGTTCAAGTGCTTCTCCTGCCTCAGCCTCCCGAGTAGCTGGGACTACACGCACCCACTACCAAACCTGGCTAATTTTTGTTTTTAGTAGAGACGGGGTTTTTACCATGTGAAAACCTCATGATCCACCCGCCTCAGCCTCCCAAAGTGCTGGGATTACAGGTGCCAGCCACCTTGCCCAGCCCAGAATTCAGCTTTTAACAAATGATCTGGATGTAAATGGCCCACAGAATCTGTGCATTGGGGATGAGGGAAGGGCACAAGCCCCCCCCACCCCCCAAGTCTCTCTTGCCCCTGGACGGTCCAATAGCAAGTGAAGTGTTCCACTTGCTGAGAACTAGTAACCCCAGGTTTCCTTCTAGCTTGGACACTGGTTCTCAGGAGGAATCCTCACCCCTACCAGGAGCCCTTCTGCTCCACCAAATACTGCTGGGCTCTACCCACCCCACTTCTCATTTTAAGCCTTAAAATTCACTCCCCACTATTTCTGCCCCCCCTCTACTTTCATCCTCACAAGAATCCTACGCAGCTGGGGTAGACGAGTCATTTGCCTCTCTTGGGACCACGCTAAAGAGGCAGCCTATGATTGCCATGAGGGTAAGGGAGCCCTGAACTGCAGATCAATCATTTCCAGAAAAGCCAGAACTCTGAATTTTTCTGTGCAATTTCTGAAACTTTAAATCAAATTTTTTTTTTCTGAAATTCAATGGATCCAATACCACAGGACTGTGTAATCAATCCATTCCAAAATCTCCTTTTGCTAAAGGAGATTCCTTAAACCACCAAGAACAAGACAAGCCGGCTGAAGCAAGGGAGAAGAATCTCTCTCACCCCTCCCAACACACACTTTCCACACCCAGTAAGTTGAGTCTTCGTCTGGGTGGATAATTCCATCTTTTTTTTTTAATCTTGGACAGCTTCTCTCTGTAGCAAGGAACCTAGAACTTTGGGTAACGTAAGGGATATCAGTCTGGTTGTCAGTAAAAAGGTGCCAGAGGATTTGTGCTGTATCCCTAACCACAGTTCCTGCTCAGTCGCTTAGCTCCTTGGCAGCTATGTCTGATGGCTAGATAGTTGGTGTGATCTTCCAGAAAAAGAACAGGCATCTTGTCTTGCAGAGGCAGGAAAGAAGTCAGAAAGCAGTGTGTGTATGCATGTGTGCGTGTGGGTTGAGGAGGAGGGTCTCAGGTGGCACTGGCGGTGGGAGGGAAATCATTAAGGGTGGCACTTGGCCAGGCGAGGTGGCTCACACCTGTAATTCCAGCACTTTGAGAGGCTGGGCAGGTGGATTGCTTAAGCACACAAGTTCAAGACCATCATGCCCATGGTGAAACCCCGTCTCTGCAAAAAATACATTAGCTGGGCTTGGCAATGCACATCTATAGCCCCAGCTACTCAGGAGACTGAGATGAGAGGGTGGCTTAGGGCTGCCGATTATGCCGCTGAACTCCAGCCTGGGTGACAAAGCCAGGCCTTGTCTTTAAGAGGGCTGGGTGTGGTGGCTCATGGCTGTAATCCCAGCACTTTGGGAGGCTGAGGCGGGTGGATCATTTGAGGCAGAGAGTTTGAGACCAGCCTGGCCAACATGGTGAAACCCCGTATCTACTAAAAACACAAAAATTAGCTGGACGTGAATGGCATGTGCCTGTAATCTCAGCTTCTCAGGAGACAGGTGGGAGAATCGCTTCAACCCGGGAGGCAGTGGTTGTGGTCAGCTGAGATCACGCCATTGCACTTCAGCCTGGGCAACAGAGCTAAACTCCATCTCAAAAAAAAAAAAAAAAAAAAAGTATCTGGCTCAGCTCCGCCTGGTGCAACTGCGGCTGGGAGGTGACTGGAGTATGTCGGCCCCATTGGTGTGGAGTAGGGTGGTTCTGTGCGGGACCCCGTGGGGCCAATGGTACCAGACCCTGGAGGTGATGTTCATTGAAGTTCAGGTGCCACCAGGCACGTGCGCCCAGGATATCCAGTGCGGCCTGCAAAGCCAGCTTGTGGCACTGGCAGTGGGTGGCCGCGATATCCTCAAGGTAGAGGCAGTTCGGGGCTTGTGTTGTTTCCTCTTCCCAGCTGCCCCTAGCCCCCGAGTCCTAAAGTTCATGGTGTCCAGACTACTCCTGTGGCTGGCAGAGAGACAGAGGATAGGTAACACTGACCACGTTTAGGTCTGGTCAGAGCCTCCCTCTTCAGGGCAGGTGGTGAACTGTGGAAATTTGAGGAGTCCATTTTCCAGCTTAGTTTTCAAAAAAATCAGACTGCTGCTTCTGCTTCTCTTGGGGGCTTCAGCTGGGAACAGACCAAGTTGCTAAAGGAACAGGTATTTCTTCCAGTCGCTGAAGACAGGAAGGAAGGTGGCAGGAAGACGAGACAGATAAGGTCCCTGCAGTGGAGAGGTTAAGCTCTTGTAGGGGGGAGTAACCAACAGATTCTTTTTTTTAAGTATCCAAGAAAAACTATACTCCCCAAAAGGAAACCAGCTGGGTTGCCTAGGCTTTGGCAGTAGTCACTAAAGAATGGCAACAATCTCAGAAACTGTGAAGATGGGGTCAATTTAAGATGAGGCTGTTGGCCAGGCGCGGTGGCTCACGCGTGCTAGGATTACAGCCTCCCAAAGTGCTGGGATTACAGTCTGGGATTACATACTCATCCTTCAAGCTCATAATTCAGAGGAGTAAGAGCACTTAAGAAGCAGAGCACACAGCCAGGGTTTGAGAGACATACCTCTCAGTGATCTGGACAGAGGAAGGCTAAAATTACGGTGGCCTTGCCAGAGGACATCTTCCCAAAACTTCTCAGATGTATGTTCCTCCCTAACACTGCCACCGAGGCCTCCTTCCCTTCAGCTTGGAACTGAAAACTTCCAGCAATAACATGTGAGTATGTGCGCCTGTGCGGGAGCTTGTCCTGGCACTCACCACTGGAAACACTGCCCTGCTTGGTGCTGCCCACAAGACTGCGCAGGTAGCCAAGAAAGCAACTTTACCATTACAGTGTTTTTGTGTGTGTACCGGAAAAAGATGCTCCAAATCGTCACTTTATTATGTGGCAGTCACCGGGATGCCAGCCTCTGCTCTTCCCACATCGCCCTCTTAATCCAGGACTCTGCAGGCATTTTCTTGAGTCTCACAAATCAAGGTCAATGTCCATTACGGCCTGTGCTCCCCTTTTCTTCAATACAGGGCAGGGCTCATGTAACTAAGTCCCAAGTATTGATGTCTTTTTTTTTTTGAGACCGAGTCCTCACTCTGTTGCCCAGGCTGGAATGCAGCGCTGTGATTTTTGCTCACTGCAACCTCTGCCTCCCAGGTTCAAGCGATTCTCCTTCTTCAGGCTGGAGAGATTACAGCTGTTAGGCTGTAATCCCAGCCTAACGAGAAGCTGGGATTACAGGTGCATGTCCCGACACCCGGGTAATTTTTTTTTATAAAAAATTTTGGTAGAGACGGGGTTCCATCATGTTGGCCAGGCTGGTCTCGAACACCTAACATTGTGATCTGCCTGCCTCGGCCTCCCAAAGTGCTGAGATTACAGACGTGAGCCACTGCACCTGACCAATAGTAGTCTCTTAACTGGTCCTGGTGAGGCCCACCAACAGCAGTGAAGAGCCCTGGGAGGGGCACGGATGACGAGACTACCCCAAGGGGGATGGATGTAGGAAAAGAGACATTTCTTGATCTCACTCTGCAAACTGGTCCAAGAACTTGAGGTAGGCCTGACGCTGGGGTGCAGCTGCTGGAATGAAGTGGCCACCGGAGTGGGTGAGGGTGACGGCTTCAGGGAATCGGCTGGCCAGCTGTATACTCTCCGGAGAGGGGATGACTTTGTCAGTGTCCCCGAAAACATGGAGGGACGGCAACAACAAGGGTCTTTGCAGGATGGATTCCTTGAACCCACGGCCCCGGGGACAGAATCCAGATACCAAGATGACAAACCGCGGCATGGGGAAGCGGGAATCGCCTGCCTGGCCCAGGGCGCACACGAGGGCGGCCAGCGCAGCCCCTTGGCTGAAACCAAGAAGCCCGTCAAAAGGCCCCAGCCTGCTCAGTGCCTGCGCCACCGTCCCCAGAGCTTCCTCCAGGCCCCTGCACACGGCGGGCTCTTCCAATGCGGAGAAAACGTCCGTCTCCTGCTCTGAAAACCACCAGCCTCGAGGCTGCTCCTCCGGAGGGCAGGACCCTACAGCGATACAGGGAAAGAGGGTGGGCTTAGGGCACGGGACCCTCCAAGAATTCGAGATGGCAGAGAAAAAAGGGAAAGGAGGCGAAAGTCTCGGGGAGAGTAGACGAGGAATGAAGGGATTGGCCTGAACAGGAGGCGGCGGAGGAAGACGGATGAAGACGGAAGCCCGGGAGCACAGGCAGTAGCTTGAGCAAGAGGGGCCAGGCTGGGTGGGAGGAATGAGGGTGGGGGACGCTGAGGGGACGAAACAAGATGGAGAAAGCCGAGTGCATTTCCGGAGCAGGGCTCGTCTCACCGATGTCTGATCTGGTGCCCTCGGGGCCCGGGGCGTCCCGGACTAGGTGCGGGCCACTGAGGCACACGAGCTCGGCGCGGCCCCGCAGCGCCTTCCTCAGTGCTCCAGTCTTCTCGCGGAAGGCCCGCTCGCTCTGCCGGAAGCCCGCCAGGCACAGGACCCGTAGGGTTCGCTGCCCGGCCATCACGCTCGGCAGAATCGCAATGAAAGCGCCGGAAGCGGCCTTTCCCCGAGCGGAAGGAGAATGCAAGGGGCGGAACCAAACACCGGCACCACCCCGAAGGCGGGCCTCGCAGCGCCAAGACGTTCCATTGACAACGGCGAGGGGAGGGGCGCAGCCAGAGCAGGGGCGGATACCTGGGGCCCGGAGCGTGTTAAGGAGCGAGCGGCGCCACCTTCTCGTCTCTACAGCTGCAGTCCTCGCAAGTCACGGCTGAAGGGGGCTGCGTGGACCCCTCCTGCACCTGAGGTCGCAGCCTTTGGTCAGGGTCTCGCTTTTGCCACCCTGCATTTCCCGTCGCGGTCGCAGGGCGGCGGCCTCGGCTTGTGTCGCCAAAGGCAGCCAGGGCCCAAGCGCGGTCTCTCCTCCCTCCTGGAAACCCCGCCTTACCTTCCCCTGCGCCGGCCGGCCCACGGCCTGAGGACGCCGGTCTTGGCCGTGGTTCACCGTCCAGGGCCCCAAGGAGCTGCCGGCGTAAAAGTCCATGGGGTAGGGCTGCTGCCAGGAAATGCTCCTCAGGGCTACGGCCGCCTGCAGGGGAGACCAGACAATATTTGCCCGTGTTTTCCTGCTCCTGGATTACTGAACTCAGCCCTCACAACAGCCTGTGAAGGGCACACAGTTCCCTACCACGGAAGGGAAGTGTGTGGTTCAGAGAGGTCAGGGCCCTGTCAAAAGCCACACAGCTAGGAATTGGAGAATTCGAGACAGACTCCGGAACCTACTAACATAACCAAATCCTGCCCACCCACCCCCACACCTGGCCTTTGAGAAGCACGTGCAAAGTCCACTCTCTCCCAGGGGTTCGGAACTTGGTGTTACCTCATAAGGTGTCAGCAGCGGCTTGGGGAAGGCTGTGCCCCAGTCAATGGAGAGCCGTGGACACGCCACCTGCACCCACCTGGGAAGGGAAGCCAGGTCAGACCCTAGGAGGTGCCTCCCAGGCAGCATGCTGAAGAACATGACAGTATCCCTAAAACCCCATTAATTACCAAGCGTTATGAACCCTAAAGTAAACAGTCACCTGCTGCTGTTTGGGATACTGCATTGTTGTGTGTTTTCTCCTGCTTCCTCTGCTGACAATGAGCTTTCCAGGGCAGCTCACTGGTGAGAGCATCCCCAGAACCAAATTTAGTATCTGCTACCAGGGAGGGGTCGGGCACCCCTGCAACTCATCTCACAATGACAAATGTGATGCTGCCATTGCCTCTGAGCCCTAAAGCAGGTGTGACCCAGTTAGCCCTGCCTGGGAAGTCTCTGTCAACACTAAAATTGCATGACCATGGAAGCAATTCCTATTAGCTCCAGCCTTTGAGACAGTCTGGGCAGGACCCAACTTCCAAGCTGCTTTATCCAGAGTCATAGCCAGGCAGGTAAGGTGGGAAACTTACACGTCCACCTCAGGAAGTAGGCGAAGCTTGCTGGGGAAGATCTCAGAGAGCAGCAGCCTCACGAAGGAAAGGCCCAGGGCTCGGAGCTGGGACTCCAGGTGCTGTTGGGAGAAGGAGGCAGGACGGAGGAGGTCACCATGCTCAAGCAGCCAAAGCTGAACCTGTGGTTTTCCCAGCTCCTCCCCTCCTCCAGAGGCCCTCTGGAGCCTACTGACCTCCAGGATCTTAGGACTGCCCTGGCGGCCCAAAGTACCCAGAATGAGGCCCCAGGACTTAGCTGAGTGGGCAGCAGCTATGGCTTCCTGGCGAGCAGCCTGCATGCGCTGATGGTCATAGTGCTCTCTGGACAGGACTTTGCTATATGGGTCATACCTGGAAAAGCAGCAGCCAGGGTCACTGAGACAGCCACTGTGGGGACTCTTGTGCACACAGCCCCTGCCTCAGCCCTGTGGGCTCCTGAGCCTTTAGGCCCTACCCAGGTCATTAGGAACAGAGGTAAGAGTGGGGACTGTCATTAGGAAGACCTGTCCCACAGCTGGAGCAGATGGAGCTGGCAGTTTCAGGATCTCAGTGTAAATCCCCAGGGCTGCAGGCAACAGCAGCCCTGGGGCGAATGCCCACATCTAGCGCCCATGTGCCTCAGACCCTTAGGGCTGGTGGCTTAGCAGCCAGGAAATGAGGATGCAACCAACTGAGGGCATGAGTGGCCGCAAATCTGACCCCTCACCAGCTGCCAGCCCAGCCCAGCCCAGCCCAGCACATACCGGTAAGCAGGGACGTTGGGGTTGGCAATCATGACAGACTCCAGATGGAAGCGGCCATCTCCAAGATACCTGCAGGGGTGGAAGGGAGGCTCTAAGTGTGATCTGGGCAGAAGAGGCACTCGCTGGCTTAGACGTTCAGAGGGCGGAGTTCACAGCTGGCTGTGCTGTGACTGTATGTAAACTGGGACAGCCAGCATTTCACCTCGCAGAGCCTTGGTTTTCTCATGTGTAAAAGAAGGAGTTTGAATTGGATGACTGTATGGTCTCTCTCATCACATAATGCAGAATCTAAGAACTGTCCCACCCAAGCTTCTGGGGAAGAGTGAAGGAGCAGCCCAGGCCAGGCCAGGCCGCCTGCGGTTCCAGAGCGCCTCATCCGGAAGCTGGGGAACAGATTCTCCCTTACAGGCTCAACACAGACGTGGACAGCAGCGTTCAGGGAGTCACCTATGCCAGCAGTAACCAAACTTCTTGGCACCAGGGACAGGTTTCATGGAAGACAATTTTTCACAGACACGGGTGGGTGTGGGGGGATGGTTTCAGGATGAAACTGTCCCACCTCAGATCATCAGGTGTTAAGATTCTCATAGAGCTCGCCACCTAGATCCTTCGCATGCACAAGTCACAACAGGGCGTGTCCTCCTGAGAGCACCCAATGCTGCTGCTGACGGGACAGGAGGTGGAGCTCAGGCAGCCATGGCCCCTCAACCTTCTGTACAGCTCAGTTCCTAACAGGCCACGGTGCCAGGAGTTGGGGACCTCTGAGCTATGCTGTACAGGAGGCTGCAGGGCATACACAATCGCTACTTTCTGCTCAAACTAGCTCTTGGGTCCAGTTACTGAGTTATAACAACAGCTACTGGATTTTCATGTTTTGTTTTTTTTTGAGGCAGGGTCTTAACTCTGTCACTCAAACTGAGTGCAATGGCACGATCATGGCTCACTGCAGCCTTGGCCTCCCAGGCTCAAGCGATCCTCTCACTTAAGCCTCCTGAGTAGTTGGGACTACAGACATGGACACCGTACCCAGCTAATTTTTCTTTTTTTTGTAGGGTGGGGGTTTCACTATGTTTCCCAGGCTGGTCTCAAACTCCTAGATATAAGCAATTCTCCTGCCTCGGCCTCCCATAAAGCACTGGGATTACAGGCATGAGCCACCATGCCTGGCCACCAGCTACTGTTTATTGGGTTTTTGCGTTCTGTGTACCAGGCACAAACGAAGTACCTGATGTGAATTAGTTCACTCAGTCCTGTCTACTAATCCTCCAAGATACCTACAGTATACCAGTTTTACAGAAGATACAGCTGAGGCTCAGGGATGTTAAGAAACTTGCCTCCAGCCGGGCGCGGTGGCTCACACATGTAATCCAGCACTTAGGGAGGCTGAGGCGGGCGGATCACCTGAGGTCAGGAGTTTGAGACCGGCCTGACCAGTATGGTGAAACCCCGTCTTAAATAAAATAAAAAATAAAAAAAAAGAAACTTGGCCGGGCACGGTGGCTCAAGCCTGTAATCCCAGCACTTTGGGAGGCCGAGGCGGGTGGATCACGAGGTCAAGAGATCGAGACCATCCTGGTCAACATGGTGAAACCCCGTCTCTACTAAAAAAATACAAAAAATTAGCTGGGCATGGTGGCGTGTGCCTGTAATCCCAGCTACTCAGGAGGTTGAGGCAGGAGAATTGCCTGAACCCAGGAGGCGGAGGTTGCGGTGAGCCGAGATCGCGCCATTGCACTCCAGCCTGGGTAACAAGAGTGAAACTCTGTCTCAAAAAAAAAAAAAAGAAAAAAAAAGAAACTTGCCTCCAATTATACAGCTATGAAGCAGCACACCTGAGGCTTAACCCCAGGCCCTCAGCCATGCTCACCCTAACATGGCTTCCCAGGCCATGAAGACTCCAGAGTGTGGAAGCTCACCTGCGTTGTGACAGCTCCTCTCCCTCTTGGAGACCACACTTCATTTTGATGAATGGCCAACACTCCGGGTGTCCCCTCCCACCAACATACACTTGGAAGCCCCCAAGGGTGGATACGGAGTGATGCAGGCACGGGGAGCGCTCCTAGGGGAGCAGGACTGCCAGGCCTGGGCTGGTGAAGGCCCTGATGAGGGCCTGTCTAAGGGGCAAGCCCCAGAGGTGGGCTAAGTCAGAAGTGCCCTCCCTCCCTGCCATTAGCAAGAAACGGGGCTCCCTTCCCTAGTCCCAGCTGGGGGAGCTGTTGGCTCTCAGGCTGGCTGCATTCACACAACATTAAGCATTTCTATTACCTAAAATAATTAGGTGGCAGGAGACACGCTGCTTCTGCTTGTTAGCTGTCCGGATGGTAAATTAATGGGGCTGCAGCCTGGGCGTACCCATCCATCTTCTCCAATTATATTCCTACCGCTGTCAGCCCACCCTCATCCCCCCATCAGGCCCTCTGGATGGCAGACTGGGCAGTGGAGAAAGAGATAGCCCAAGTCGAGTCCCTTTTTGGTGCCCACCTTGCACTGTGACCTTGGGCTGCAGGTAAGGAACATTAGATTCCGTTTCTTTCCTGTATGATGACCCTTGGGCTCCCTCCCAGGGCGCATTCTCATGTCTGTAGGACTTGGCCCCCTTTTTTAACTTACACAACGGCCTCTACCTCTTCGGGCAGTCGGGGGGATGTGCAGCCCAGAATCTCTCCAGGGGACAGGGGCTTGCACTGTGGGACACTCACATGATACTCAGCTTTCAGCTCCTGGGCAGCTGCCTGTAAGAAGGAGGGGAGAAGGGAAGCCAGAGGCCAGGGCTGAACAACCTGGAGCACCTGGCGTGGAGACCCAGCAACAGCCGGAGAGTGGCCACCATCTGCCCTGTGGGAGGCTGAGGAGCCACATTCTACCTACCTGCAAGGTGGACACAAACTGAATGGTGCTGACCAGGGCGAGGGCAGTGGCCGGGGGAAAGGTGAGGCGGAGAGAGTCAAGCAGGTGGGTAGCATCTATCCGGATGTCGACGAAGACATACAGCACCCGCAAGTCTTGGGCCGAGGTGTCCATGGGAACTGGGGGAGGGAAGAGTTCAGGGTCCATTTGGGAAGGCAGGAGCTGCAGAGGGGCTGGCCCGGGCTGAGGTCTCTGAGCACCAAGGCCCAGTAGCTTCAGCCTGAAGGTAGAAGGACAGGGTAGGAGAAGAGGGGGTCACAGGTCCCCTAGAAGCTCTTTCTCAGTCAGGCTTCTCTGTCACCCGGCCAGGGGCCGGTCTGCACTACAACCAACAGCCTTTCAAACACCTGCATCTGGGACAGAGCAGTTTCCAAGGCAACCAAATCCAAAGGCAAGATCCACCTGCAGAGCGGGAAGGCGGAGGCCATCCCAGAAACCAGGAGGGACCTCGTGCCGAACACAGGACAAGAAGGCACTTCGAGGGGGAAGATGAGTGTCCGGCCTGCCTCTCGCCAGCCCCGCCACCGCCGAGGTGTCCTGGCCCCGCCATACCCAGGCAGCTGTGGCCGTAGTGCACCAGGAAGTCAGCTCCCAGGGCCCTGGCAGTGAAATCATCCACACAGCAAGCCCCATAGGTCACATCACCCATCACCATCACTTCAGCCTCGGTGAACCTGTGGGGAGGGGTGGTAACAGTGGGACAGTGACACAGAAGTGGGGTGGGGGAGACCCAGCCCTGGGAGGGGTCTCAGGGCTCAGCTCCTCTCCCCCTACCTCTCCCAGTTCCTTGAGTGGGCAGCTGCCGCTCCTGCCAACAAAGATTAGGAGGGGCACAGCTGCCGCCTCCAACCTGGCAGCAGCTCCTGGAACGGTTGCAGCATGAGGACCCTCATTCCTCTGCCCAGGCTCAGGCTGCAGGAGGGACCTCAACCCTCAGCCCAGCACACACGGGGTCAAAACACAGATGCCCCATGCCCTGACCCACCCAACCCACCAGGAGCAGTGAGCACTCATGTGCATGCACGCGAAAAGGCACGCACTCCCACGCTGGGTTTCGCGGTGGGTGTGGCCGCATGGATACACACAGCCTCCCTCTCACCTGGACCCCCGCTACCTCCCCACTCACAGGCAGGGCCCTCAGTGCCCAGGATGGGGGACCCAGGCACAGCTCCCCCGCAGCACATGGGACCACCTACACACCTCCTGCGTCAGGAAGAGGCTCTGGCCGGAACACTGCCATCGATCTGCTGCCAGGCCTGAATCACTGGGGGAGGGGTGGGGGAAGACCCTCCACCCCTAAACTCACCCGGGGAATGGAGAAGCCCCTCTTCCTTGAGAGAGACTCACACCTGGAACATGGGGCCTGGCTCAGTGCCGGGTCTCCCCATCCTTTCCCTGGGGGTGTGGTGGTGGAAGAGTTGAGCTGCTAGTCACCCCCTCCTCCACCCCCTTCCCCAAATCAGGCTGTGCCCAGAAGCAGATTATTCAGCTCCTTAGAATGCAGCCCAGGCATCTGAGTCAGCCAGAGCACTTAATTTTTTATAGATTAAAATGTATGCAAATTGGCCTGAGCCCCAGAGAGCATCCCCAAGGGGCAAGAGGGTGGGAGCAGGGAAGTGAGTCTGTGGCAACCGGCTGGGGAGCAGGGAAGGGAGGTGGGCCGCAGGGGAGGGGGAGGTTCCCAGTACGAGATGACCTCCCCTTTCTTCGTTCTCCGCCCCTGTTCCTGTGCTGGTTCCAGATGGCTGAGTTCTCACCCTCCCCACCAGGGATGGCTCATTGTATTGCAGAAACTTAGAATGACAGTGGCAGGAGGAACTGAAAACCTTCTCCCAGGTACCTCCCCCCTTGCAAACCTGGCCTTGCCCTACTTCCCCCAATGTGTCTGAGGAAAAGGTATCTCCTCCCCAGACCTCTCACTGATCACTCAGCGCCTTTCAGGGGCAGCTGGGAGAATTCTTAGGTGCCTCCCCGAGTCCCACCACCTGCTCTGGGCCTAGCTTTGAGGATACTGGGATTGGTTTATTTCTCTGTCCCAAATATTTAGGGAAGGAGAGATTTGCAGGGACAAGCAGGACTCTCAGCAAGCTGGGAGATTTGTTTTGGGTTTTCCCTTAGTATATGTATGGTTGTGTGGGAGAGAGGGCAAAGGCGGAGGTCCAGAGGGAAAAAATGCCCACCACCAGGGCATTTGCCACCAGGGTAATGAGCATGGGGGCAGGGGAGCCTGGCTCAGCCTCTCTCCAGTGCCCCAAGCCTCACCTTTCCAATATATCCACAATGGTGCAGGCAAAGAGGAGGAGGCCTTCTGGCATTTGCAAAGCCACTGAAAGACAGAGCAGAGACATGTGACGTGGAGGGCCAGGAAGGGGGGGCTGCAGTGGGGACACTGTCCTGCTGGGCCAGGCAACCTCTCCACCCCTACCCCAGCTCAGTGATGACAGGCTCACCCTTCTTGGCCTGGGCTTGTTGGATCCTCCAGATGGTCTTTGGGATCTCAAAGTTGTAGTTGGAAGGCAGGACCTGGACTGCTGCCTGCAGCTGGGGGTTGTTCAGGATCTCAGAGGGGATCTGATTGGCTACACGGCCCCGAGGGACCCGACCTAGGATGGGTATAAGGGCTGAGTTGGTGTCTGTTTTTGACCATAGCCAGACTGAGATGGAATGGGATCCCTTTTCAGGGCCTGCCCGGCTCCCCCAACTCAAGCAGAGAAATAAAAATTTTGAGTCATCAAGAAAAATCTTAGCTAGCCCTCCAACCAGCAATTAGGAAAGTAAGTAACTTGCTAAAGAAGAAGATAATCGCTGGGCGCAGTGGCTCAAGCCTGTAATCCCAGCACTTTGGGAGGCCGAGGCGGGTGGATCACAAGGTCAAGAGATCGAGACCATCCTGGTCAACATGGTGAAACCCCGTCTCTACTAAAAATACAAAAAATTAGCTGGGCATGGTGGCACGTGCCTGTAGTCCCAGCTACTCAGGAGGCTGAGGCAGGAGAATTGCCTGAACCCAGGAGGCGGAGGTTGTGGTGAGCCGAGATCGCGCCATTGCACTCCAGCCTGGGTAACAAGAGCGAAACTCCGTCTCAAAAAAAAAAAAAAGAAGATAATAAAGAACACTCACCCAAGGGAGAGGCACAGGATGTCTGGCTCGCTGTAGAAACTGAAGGCAACACCTTGACATATACCCCCAAGCTGTTTTTCAGAAACCGGGACCCCCACCAGATGAAAAAATGCCAACTAACTGCTGTCATGTAAGACCTCAGACAGTGTGAAGCCAGAAAATAAAGAAAGTTCCAGAAATTCCCCAGCCCTTAACTCACTTTAAAGATCCCCCTGCAGACTAGCCTTTAAACCCCTTGCTTGTAAGCCATCAGGGAGTCCAGGTCTTAAGCCTTAGCTGCCCCGTGTCCTTGCTTGGTGCCTTACCATAAATGCCTGTTCTCTCCCTGCAAAACTCAATGTCAGTGTTTGGCTTTGCTTTGCAGGAGGGCAGACCCAAACTGAGTTCGGCAACAAGACCCAGCTGAGCTGTTAACTCCACCAGGTTTGTTTTGTGGTTGTTGTTGTTGTTTTCTGAGACGGAGTTTCGCTCTTGTTACCCAGCCTGGAGTGCAATGGCACGATCTCAGCTCACGGCAACCTCCACCTCCTGGGTTCAGGCAATTCTCCTGCCTCAGCCTCCCAAGTAGCTGGGACTACAGGTGTACGCTATCATGCCCAGCTAACTTTTTGTATTTTTAGTAGAGACGGGGTTTCACCATGTTGACCAGGATGGTCTCGATCTCTTGACCTCGTGATCCACCCGCCTCAGCCTCCCAAAGTGCTGGGATTACAGGCGTGAGCCACCATGCCCGGCCAACTCCACCAAGTTTAACGCCCAGATCCAGACACCAAGGGGGCTGGCCCAGCTTTCGTTCTCACTGAATTCATCCTGAAGGTAGAGACAATTCATGACGCTGAAAGGTAACCGGTATATCCTCCATGTCATGAAATTACTGGGAGTCAAAGGCTCGAGCCCATGAAGAGAATATGGCTCACTCGCTTCCTCAGGAGAACAGACAGACAACAGGGAACCACGGAGCAAAGAACAACAAGCTGAGTCCCCCAACTGCTCCTTGATAGAGAACAGCCCTGCAGGAAACCCCAGTCCAGCTAGCCAGCCCAGCCAGTCTGGGAGCATGTCCCCCTCCTCCCACCTCCTGAGGACACCTTGAAGTTCTGAGGTTGTAGATATGAGTTCTATAAGCAAACCGTGAAACACGAATATGAACTTAAAAGACTGCCGTCCTCACTGAGAATCCCACTATGCTCACACTGGCTGATTCTTTCACTCTTACCTCCCCTCCTTTAAAAGGGAAATAAACATCATACATTTAACTGAATTGAACCATTGCCCCTCCTTACTCTTAAACCAGGACGGATGGAAAGAATACTCGGGGCAGGTTGGTGGATGTACTAGTAAGGAGAGAAAAGTGACCTTGTCCTTTAGGGACTAGCAGTCTAGAGGGGCAAAGACAGGCAGACACAGAATTATAACTCCTGGAGTAAAGGGCAAACCCAGCCCTTTGGCAAGGCTGCAGACCTTACTCTGGCCTCATCCTACTCCCTGTGTTATAGTGAAGCCCGTTTCTCTTCAAAGAATCAGCATGTCCATATGTTCAGCCTCTTACTCTTTAATTCTCTATTTTAAAGTTTAACTTCCTTGTAAGTCCAGTGACAACCTTCTCCACAGGTTCCTATCATTAGATCACATCTTTCCCCTGGTCTGGGCTCCATCCTGACTCATCCCAGTCACCTGCTCCAGTCACGTTCTTTGACCTAAGTCACCCCTGACTACCTGCTCTGACCCACCCGTGACCATCCTTCCCGCCACAATGCCCACCCTGCCACTCCAGCTTGGACCCCTGCTCTCTTTAAAATAGTCAGGATTACTCTAGCTTGTGCGGTCTAACCCCAGCCAACAGGGGAACTACAGAGCAGTAGGGACGACCCCGTCAAGCATAAGTGCCCCTTCCCCCTTGTCCAGGTGTGTGGTCACCATTGCTCCATCCGGGAGCCACACCGTCTACAGAAGTAAATTGCCGGGACTCCACATTTGGGTCCCCTTCCACCAACACTCCCTTAGTGGAAGCCGTCTCTCTCTCTCCTGGATTTCCCCCCTGGGGCCTCCTTCCACACACTCTCGTGGAAGCCTGACCTCCCCTCCTAGACTCCATCTCTCTCTATTCCCTTCCTCTCAGTGTGGAAGCTGCTTTCCTCTCCTGGATTCCATCTCTGTGGATTCTCTCACTCAGCATGAGAGTTAGCTGTTTCTCTTTCTCCTGATTCTCTCTCTAAATCACTTTCTCAAACAGACAAACAAGTAAATTGCCTTGCTCAGAGAATTTAACCGAGTGCTATTTCTTTTGCGGCATCGAAATATTACTTAGAACAATTCTGGGGGCTTGTCCAGGATTCACCGGTCTCCTCCGGTGGTTTCGGCCCTCTGTGAGGACACACGTCCTCCTGCTTCACAGCGGCAGCCTCAGGCGTAAGGGATGAGACCTACCTAATGTGATGAACGAGGCGGCCTCTCAGCAACGCCGGGTGGGGGGTGGTGAGGCCTACAAATACCGCGGCAACCAAGCAACTCTGTGCACAGAGCAAGAAAAAGACCCTCGGGAGCCTGTAGCAGTTCCTTGGTGGTCAGGACCAAGGTTAAGCAAAGCCGTGGGGAGGGGGAGAGTAAACAATGCCTTGGTCGGAATATACTGTGGCGAGAAAAGCCTCGGGGTGCGGGGGGGAGGGCGGCTTGGTGGTTAAAAAGAGGCAGGACTTCTCCATTAGGGGCAGACTGAACCTTACACAAACCTCCAACAGTAGGGAAGGGGAGAAATGTCCAGTAAAGGAAATTGAGTCTCACCCCAAAAGGCGAGACATTTCCAGTAAGGAAAACGAAACCTTATCCCCAAAACGGGAAATACCCCAAGCAGAGTAAGGGATAAACAAGATAAAGCTAAGGATATTCCCCTGACAATCCCCTATGCCTAATGAAGGGACCAAGCACAAACACAATCAGCTCCTGTCCCAGACCCTTCTCCTATCCTTGTGTTCCCCTCCTTAGAACCCCACCTCTTGGGAACTGTCCCCAGAGCTCACTGCCTATCAGCTTGAGTACCCTTCCCTAAAACGACTTCAACGTAAGACAGAGCAATGTAAAAAAACAAACAAACAAACAAAAAAAAAACTTCAGAACTTCTACAGAACTTCCCTTTCCTCTCTTCTGGGGGGAGGGGGACAAAGAGGTACACAGAACTGCTATGGGAGCCTAGGAACGTGAACACCCACCCTGGCCAAAACATTCTACAGCAGATCAAACATTCCCCACTCAAGACCCGCAGTGGGACAACAGTAACGCAGCCTACCGAGAAAGCATGCAGGAAAACATGCTGGTCTAGGTGCTAAGGATCTTCCTGGGCAGGGAATTTTAAAACTTCATTTTGTCACTAACAATTGGCCAAATATTAACAAGAAATTACAAAAAAATTAATAGAGAACTAGAAAGATAAATCTCCAAAACAGCTTCGGGGGGGGGGGTGGAAATCCTAGAGGAGAAAGACTGACATGGAACAAAGGAAGAGAGAGAGAGGGAGAGAGAGAGAGTCAGAGAGACAGAGTCAGAGAGAGAGTGAGAAAGAGAGAGAGTGAGAGACTCAGAGTCAGAGAGAGAGTCAGAGAGAGAGTGTCAGAGAGAGGAAGAGAGTGAGAAATATAGTCAGAGAGAGTGAGAAAGAGAAAGAGTCAGAGAGAGAGAGAGTCAGAGACAGAATCAGAGAGAGAGAACGAGAGACAGAAGTAGTAAAGAGAAAGCAATGTTCTCTATTCTTTTAAGGCTCAGGGTAAATGCATAACCTGTAATTGATAATTGAAGATCTTCTCCATGTGGGGCTTCTTAGACCCTGTTGTTCTCAATCCAATCCTTATACTATTATAACTGCCAGTAGTTTACAGTAATAAGGTTAAAAGATGCCTTGGGGGCTTGTCCGTGGGCATAGGGCAGCCAGGACCTACTTGCCTTTGAATGAGAAGATCCTCACTCCGGTGGAAAATAGCAACACCGATGGACAGTCTTACCCCAAGGTTTTGTGGAGTCTCTGTGACTATGGATAGACTCTTACGCTGTAAAAATAAAGCCCTTATATAAAAAACTCACACAAGACAGGCTAAACCCACTCATTTGACAATTACCAGAAATCCAACAGGTGGAAAGGTTACCTCCTTAAGCAGCCATTCCGTCTTTTTGTCAGTGTAAACAAGGGCATAACCTTAGAAATACCAGCCCAAAGGCACAGAGGCCACTGACAGCCAGTAGCCTTTCTATCAAAAATCCTTACCCCAGTAACATGTGGAAGGCCCAAATGCATTAAGGGACGAAACTTATATACAAAGCTTGCTAAAAGTTAACAGTGTAACATGCAGACCGGGCGCAGTGGTTGAAGCCTGTAATCCCAGCACTTTTGGGAGGCCGAGGCGGGTGGATCACGAGGTCAAGAGATCAAGACCATCCTAGTCAGCATGGTGAAACCCCGTCTCTACTAAAAATACAAAAAAAAAAAATTAGCTG